CCCCTCAATATGGATACTATAAATAACTTTATATAAACCAGGAGTTAAGCGCCGTTTTTATGGTTTATCAAAACTATGCTATATAATTTTTCAGGAAATTATCAAGCAAGCCTGTTCAGACTTTACACATTTTGGAATTACCTAAGCACTTACTCCTCATATATATATATTGCTACTTTACTGCAAAACAAAATCAAATTTCTGTATTTTTTGGCAAGTTAACAGCACTTTTTAGTGAATTGCATAACACTATAGTGGCGGGGCGAACCACACCTCCTCCACCTCTACTTGCTCCTTCTCCGTTAGACGAATGAAGCTTCCACACACGAAAATGACTCAATTTATCCACGTAATTTGATACGTACTCCCTCCTCTTCCACCCCGCCGGGTGAATCGGCTCGAATCATTAATCACAAGAGAGACCTCCAGACTTTTAAACAAACTGCATTCATAATCGGGCCTCCGGACAGGTTGAGCTCAGCTCAGCTCAGCTCTGCTTGGGCCCATGCTGCGTATACGTAATGTCAGCGCGGAGGTACAGTGCCCGCCATATGGATATCGATCTCACGCCGCTGCCTGACATATTTGGGTTGAATGTTAACAGAAAAAATAAATAGTAAACTAACAAAAAATAGCAAACAAAACTCGCAGCTTATGAATGCCTGACCACAGCAAAATCGGCAAATGTCGCAATTAACATATTTCTCATGTGTGCAAGTACGAATGCATACCGATTCGTATTCGTGTTTGTTATTATTTCTTTGAGAGGTTTTTAAATGTTTATGAAAAGGTTCCCCCTCTCTGAGTGGGAAAAACAATGGCTTTCTGGAGGGAATTTGAAATAATAATAAATAATAGGTTCTTCAAAACTGTGCCACGATCCCCTGAAGTACGCCCCTGTGTCCAGCACAACATACACCTGACATTGTCTCAAAAATGCCACAGGTGCCTACGTGTGTGTATGTTTATCTCTGTGTCTGAGTAAAACAAGAAACAAAAGCGTTTGTTCAAGTGATTAGCCCAACCCTGAAAAGTGTTTTTTTTTTGTTTTTTTTGGACCAACCCCTCGAGAAACATAAAAAAATCGCAACTGAAAGGTGAGGAGATCATGGAATTGCACGAACCTTTGACTGGGTCAGAGATAGGGAAGGCACAAAATATCGGATCTGTATTGATATTTGAAATATAAATAAATATTTTAGCTATAATTTCATAAATCTGGTTAATTGGATTAACATTAAGCGTACAGCTCTTTCTTAAGGGAAAAGTCAAAGTTTAAATTTCTCATAATTTTGTCAAAAAAGCACTAATTTTAAATCGGAAAGCTGTCCTATGCTAGTTTTTTTTAGCTTAATAAATCTGCATACTAAATTTGAAATTATAACAAATTTCAATTTTTATCAATTTTTCCAAGTTCAATTTGCACAATTTTAGCTCTTAAAAAATGTTCAAAATTTAAAAAAATTAAATTTGTGCATGAAATAGCTAAATCGATTCCCCTGTTGATGCTGATCACGAATATATATGGTTTATAGGGTCGGAAATGACTCCTTCACTGCTTTTTAAGCTTTTGACTAAAATCATAATACCATTTTTTAACCTAAATTTATCTATATTTTTATATGCCAATTTTGGGATAAAATCAAGTTTAAAAAAACTCATAACTTAGCCAAAAAAGCATTAATTTTAATACGGAAAACTGTTCTATGCTAGTTTTTATTAGCTTTATAAATCTGCATACTAAATTTGTAATTTAAATAAATTTCAATTTTTATCAATTTTTGACTACTTAACAATGTCTAAAATAATTGAAAAATTTCGATCAAAATTTCGAAAACAAAAAATCTTTGCGGGACATGGCTAGATCGACTCGGCTTTTGATGCTGATCAAGAATATACATGGTTTATAGGGTCAGAAATGACTCCTTCACATAGTTCACAAGCTTCTGATTAAAATTATAGTACAGGGTTTTATATATGAAGCGTATAAAAATGGCAAAACATATAGACTATGCACTATATAAACAAGTGACAAGAAAACGTTATAGCAGACCAATATAAATAGTTTAAATGGACAACTCCCTTGGGAGGATAAATTTTAATAAACTTGTAAATAAATGGGGAAAATAATAGAAAAAGTTCAAATATGAGTTGATCCTCCAAGAACATAAAGAAGACTTGCAATTTGGCAGTTATCATAAATCTGAATACAAGTTACTAGCTAGCTTTATCTATAGCCTCCAAACTAAGCATATATCTTCCGCTTTTGTGTGCCATCCTCGGGGCAAAAAAAAAAAAAAACAACAACAAGCCAAAGATTTGTTTTATGTGACATTTCAATTAGCGCAGTGTCAAGACCTGACATCAGCATAAAAACACAGTTCAACTATTGTTGAATCACGGCCCCAACCAACAACACAACAGTACAGACAATAGACAGATAAACATTGAAAGATATATATGCAGATATACACAGATATTTATATATAGGCAAGAGCATACCGTGGAGATATTTAGCAGTGCTTGGGCGATAATAAGTGCTGATCGCTGATTGGCACAGCTGGGCAATCACTGGTACAGTCACCTGCTAATCATGGCACCGGCACGTTCGAAGCATTCCAAGCATTCCGTTTAATTGCAGACCCCCCGTTGAATCGAGTGCGTTGATATTGATCAGATTGGAGACTGCACTTTAATGATTCCGAGTTGATTGAATGATTGGTAACGATTTGGGTCAGGCCACGGTCTGCCACTTGAAGTCAGACATCGACCGTTTTGCTGGCCATTAGAACTGTCCAGTTGACATAACCATGGCCAGCCATTAGAGCCACTTGCGCAACACCAAGAGTCCAACTAGCGAGTCTAGAGGCAACACCACTTGGTGTTCCGCTGATGCAACACTTGAAAGACTAAGCTGGCTCTGGGATCTTAGATCTTGTACATATTTTAATTGATGTTTTCTATGACTCTTGGGGATCTGCTAGATCTTGAATAACTTCTTTGGTAAATCTTTAAAATTTCTGTAATTTCCAACCAAGTTTCAGCTTATCGTTCGCTGACTTTCGTTGGCATTTCGTTTTGTTTTGTTTGTTCCGCTGTTTTGTTTGTCTAATTACGCAACTTTCCGACGACGGCGGATGCCAGTGTGTGCCGCTGCATTTTGTGGTTTGACCAAAAAGCGTTTCCAATTCCGTTCATCGTTGAGTTGGAAGCCCAAAAGCAGCAACCACATCCACCACATGCATCGCAGTGCAGCAAAAATTATGGCAAGCCCATTTCCGCGTGTCAACAAACTTCTGCTTTTGGGTGAAACTTGTTGTTTTGTAAAAAGCTAGCAGGAGGTGGAGCCACCGGAACCTAAGAAAGTGTCCGCTCGAGTAACTGTGCATATGCACAGTAAGAAATTATGTTGTCATTACAATTAGTTATCTCTTGGAGAGATTAAAGGGAGAAAAGAACGCGCAAAGATTGACAAAGGACCTTTCTTTCACAAGAGACATGGCTTACTACAGAAAGCTAAGTTAACCAGCATCTGTGGAAGCTGTGCTAATAAGGAGAAAGAAATAAACAAAACACCTTCTCAGTTTGTTTTTAGTTTCATCAGAGTATCTAATAAGAGACAAGTTCCTACCCAAACAAATCTCATTCAAGGACTAAGCACTGACCTCTTGAACACCCATTAAATGCACTACCAAAGATCGTATTATTTTGCCAACTGTAACCCGAGGAGGAATGGACGAAAGTTGGCTGGCTTAAAAGACTGAACTGAAGAAGCCCTGGCATAGATCATGGATGGATTGCTGGGCTTGCTGCACTGTCGGCCGTTCGTTCGTTGTTCAAACTTTTACTTGTGTATTCATCCGCCTTCGCCTCTTCTGGAGGGTATAAACATATACATATATATAGGGGGATCCCTCAACGCGTGCAGTGAAAACCCGAGAAGCACGTAGACATAATTTATTGCCAAATGCATGGTAGACTCGCGCTGGACACGCCTCGGTGGCCACGTTCGTGTGTCGTGCCCCGTTCGAGCGTCATAGATACAGAGATACTATATATATATATATCTTGGAACTTTTTCGATTTCTTCGAGGGCCGACGGGACGTAAATTGTTAAAAAAAAATCCATCGAAAAATGTGCAGTAATTAAAGCGTTTTTAAAGGTATAATGTATAAATTGAAAAGAAAGAGAAAGATAAACAACAGTGGAAGGCAAGCGTAAAGTTGTTACTCGATGCGTTGGCAGCTAACGAGTCTTAATTAAAGTGAAAATGCCAAAAGATCGACATGGATATGGCTATGGATATCCATCATATCTATAACAATATCTATATGCACATTGTGTTGCTGAGTGCAGTCAGTCAGTCAGTGTCTGGTGTTTGGTTACCCAATGCGACATGGTGATGAAACCAGGCCCTGGGACTGGGAGAGAGGAATCCGTGTCCGAGAAAGGGCTTTCAACAAGACTCTGTCCGCTCAAGAGAGAACCTGTCCGCTCAAGAGAGAGCCTGTCCGTTTAAGAGAGAGCCTATCCGTTTAAGAGAGAGCCTATCCGTTTAAGAGAGTATGCTTACGCCTAAGATTGGGGGTGAGAAAGGAGTTCAGATATTTACAAATAAAACGCTGACCTAACTTTATAATAAACCCTTTATCCAAGAAGAGAATTTGATTGTTCAAGAGAAAGGTTTTGTCCACTTAAGGGAGAGCGAGTGTGTTTCCTTTATAGTTAAAATAACCCAATACCATAAAAAAGGAACACACTCACCATATTCTCTGAAGATCTCGATAGATGTTTCCATATTCTGCGACTTTAATCTGCTCACAACAGGATCAATCAATCACTTTCAACAGCACATTCATTCATGCGTAAGCTTTAAAACAAAGGCAGAAATATTAATTAGTATAATAAAACGAAACTCAGGCTTATATTCCCCAAGTTCTCATAAATAATTTCCACTAACCTCTGCTTTGCCTTTGTCACCTCTCTTTTCTATCCGCAGCGATGTCATAATGGAGCCAATGACCATGCTGGTGTTGGCCTTCCAGCTGCTGGCGCTCTTCTCGATCGCCGGCGCGCTGCTCATCTATCTGATTTGCAAGGTGCGCGAGGACAGTGCAGCGGCAAGTGCCGCCGAGTCGCAGCCAAGTCGTGTGGTCCTGGTCACCAGTGCGGATACAGCTCTCGGCCTGCAGCTGTGCACGCATTTGGCCAATAAGGGATGCCGCGTCTTCGCTGGCATGAAGGAGGCACACGATTCGCTGCCAGCCAAGCTCCTGTGCGGCTGGATGAAGATCCGGGAATATAGCGAAGAGCCTATTGCCGGAACCATAATACCGATGCGTCTCGATGTGACCCGCGAGGATGTGTTGCGCGAGGCTACGGTGGCGATGGGTGCGCACCTCAATGCCGATGAGCGTGGCATTGCGGCGGTGATCAATACCAGCGGCAGTGTGTTCCGCGGCAAAGTGGAGTCCCAGGATGTGCAGCAGTGGGAGCATATGCTAAAGACCAACATTCTGGGCACTTTGCGGGTGGCCAAGGCCTTTGTGGGCTTTCTGCGTCCCACACGCGGTCGTCTTCTATATCTGGGTGGCGGAGGTGGCGATGGTGGTCCTCGCTCAGGTGGCGATGGCCTGGTGGCCTTCAATGCCTCCCGCGTGGCCGTTGACAAGTGCGCCGAGGAGTTGCGCAAAGAGCTGCAGCCGTATGGCGTCAGCGTTGTGGCCTTGGACACCTGCGGCATGACAGCCGAGTCACTCTACAAGGCTCCCGTGGCACAGAGTAAGTTTCCTGTAAACAAGTCTTGTAAAAACTGTACTTTTTACCGTTTTTTTTTTCGCAGCCATGTCGGCCACGGCGGGAGCACCCACCCAGTACACGGCGGACGTCCTGAGCCCGGGCGCCTTGCAGGTGATCGAGCGGGCTTTGTGGGACTTTGCGCCGCAGCAACGCTATTCGCTGCTCACCCACAACAAGTATCAATTCACGTTGCCATGCCGCTCCTCGCTGCGTCTTCAGCGGCCCTCAGCAGCCGGTGTTCCATCATCCGAGGCGTCCGCTGCTACGCAATCGGTTTGAGGACGACGCCGCCTGTTGCCGCTACCGCTGCTGCTGCTCTCCCCACGCTTCCTGTATATACGCCCCCGTATCCCCCCCGACTCCCTGCCCTGATGCACCTGCTCCTTGTTACCCGGGATCCGATCTGCTCTTAACCCTATTCCCGCCAAAAAAGCGCGTGGCGGCTATTGGCAAATTATTTTTTGTTTCTTCTTCTTCCTCCTTTTGTCAGGAAGAATGGCGTTTTTATATTATTTTATACTCATTTTTTGTACACACACACACACACACAGCTCTTCGTAATGTTACGGAATTTTGACAAAAAGAATAAAAACTTTTGTGCTAATCAAAACAATAAGAGCTGCATGTTGGCAGATAGGCCTTGTGTGTGGCAATATTATGGGGGATGTATGAATAATGGCAGCTTACCTTAAATCGTCTTTTGGATGTCTTTTTTGCACAAATTGGGAGAAAAACGTGGTAACTTTGAACACAGCTAAAAATTTACCGCTTTAACTACTAGAGCTGGCACAACAGGAGCTTACAGCTTTTTTCCAAGCTGAAATCGATAAATATCGTGGATTTGCCACCTCTAGTAATGGTCGCCATATTTAAAGACTGCAATTTGGTGTGTGCACACTGTTCCCATGGCTAACTGCATATGCAAGGTTGCATTTCTCCCTCTGCTCTTAGAGAGAGATGCACCTTATAATAGATTCACCATGGCAAAGCTCTATTTTGTGTGGACACATTGCAATTTTGCCGGTTGACTCCTTAACGCTTCAACAGACTGAATAACGGAATTGATAAAAAGTGCAATAAAACGGAAATAAAGCTCGGGTACCACATATTTCTTAATTTCTGCAACTCTTTTGATGGTTATATAGGGCCAAAAACTCGCAATGGCTTCAGCTTTATGTAGTTATATAGCTATAGGTATATTTATTTACACTACACTTCGAACAGTAAAAAAAAAACAACAAATTAGGCTCCCAGCTCCCGACTCCAGGGATTACTTGGCCTGCTGCTGGCCCTGGGCCTTTGTGCGCTCCTCCAGAGGATCGTAGCCGGTGGCCATCTTCTCCTTGAACTGTTCGTAGGTGCGTTTGCGATCGAAATGCTTCACCCATTGGCCGGGACACGATTGCTCGAAGGCCTTGCGCAGGCTCTGGCAGGCGCTGGGCACCTTTTCGCCGCTGGTGGAGCTATGCTTGGGCGCATGCTGGTCTAGGCACTTCCAGTACTCGTCACGGTTGGTCCAGCACTTGGCGCGCTCCGCCTTGTCCGGGAAACTCATCGCTCAGTTCGCCGGCAGCTAGTGGTTCTTATTGGGTCTGTTCCCGGTATCTGATTGCTGCTCCGGGGCTTTGTCGGCGGGGTTTTATGTTAATTTCCAGCGTTGTAATCAGTTTTTAATTTACGTAAGCCACTGCAATTGATTTAATAGACTTTTAAACTGTTTAATTCAATAAATTAAGAGCGAGAAACCAACCTCAAAAAATTACAAAACAAAAACTCAGCTGTTTGATGTCGATTTCGATAAGTGCCGTAATCGATAGGCTTTATGCATATCGATAACTTTGCTGTCACACTAATTTGGTATATTTACCAGAATAAATCGGTATTCTTTGTAGTTCGCCGTGGTATTATTGATCCGCATATGTGCGGCCACACTGCTTCCCGCCAAAAACACAGCGTACGGCGTGCAATTTGTGTTCATCCGAGTTTTGTTTGCGTTTGTGTTTGCTTTCGAACGGAACGAAGCTGCATTCTTTTTTGATTCCCGCTGCCAGCTGCCAATAGAAGATACCTCCAACAATGGCCCACGATGGAGAGCAGTTCATCAAAGATATCCAGCGCGAATATGTGGACTTCCTGGACGATGAGGAAGACCAGGGCATCTATGCTGGTCATGTTAAGGACATGATAGCGGAGAAGAGCAAGCGCCTGATCGTGAACGTCAACGATCTGAAGCGCAAGAATCCTCAGCGGGCGATGGGCTTGCTAAGTAACACCGCAGACGAGCAGCTGGCCTTCGGGCGTGCCCTCAAGGAGTATGCCTCGACGGTGGATCCCAGCTATGCCAAGATGCACGAAGATTTGTTTGTTGGCTTCGAAGGGTGCTTCGGCAATCGGCATGTGACGCCGCGCAGCCTCACCTCCATATATCTGGGCAATATGGTCTGCGTGGAGGGCATTGTCACGAAGGTCTCCCTCATCCGGCCGAAGGTGGTGCGCAGCGTCCACTACTGTCCGAATACGCGCAAGGTAATGGAGCGCAAGTACACGGATCTTACCTCCTTTGAGGCCATACCCTCTGGCGCCGCCTATCCCACCAAGGATGAGGATGGCAATCTCCTGGAAACGGAGTACGGCTTGTCCGTTTACAAGGATCATCAGACACTGACCATACAGGAGATGCCGGAGAAGGCGCCGGCGGGACAGCTGCCCCGCTCTGTGGACATTGTCTGCGACGATGATCTTGTGGATCGCTGCAAACCCGGCGACCGGGTCCAAATCGTGGGCAGCTATCGCTGTCTGCCGGGTAAGCGTGGTGGCTACACATCGGGCACCTTCCGCACCGTCCTCCTGGCCAACAACATCTCGCTGCTGAGCAAGGAGAGCAACCTGGACATATCGCGCGAAGACATCATGCTCTGCAAGAAGCTGGCCAAGAACAACGATATCTTTGAGCTGCTTAGCAAGAGCCTGGCCCCGTCCATACACGGGCATGCGTATGTGAAGCAGGCAATCTTGTGCCTGCTCCTTGGTGGCGTGGAGAAGCTCCTGCCCAATGGCACTCGCTTGCGTGGCGACATCAATGTCCTACTCATCGGTGATCCCTCGGTGGCCAAGTCCCAGCTGCTGCGCTATGTCTTGAACACGGCGCCGCGTGCCATACCCACCACGGGTCGTGGTTCCAGTGGTGTGGGTCTTACGGCAGCGGTGACCACGGATCAGGAGACCGGTGAGCGGCGTCTGGAGGCTGGAGCCATGGTTCTAGCGGATCGTGGCGTTGTCTGCATCGATGAGTTTGACAAGATGAGTGACATTGATCGTACGGCCATTCATGAGGTGATGGAACAGGGACGTGTTACCATCTCCAAGGCGGGCATCCATGCCTCCCTCAATGCTCGCTGCTCGGTGTTGGCCGCTGCCAATCCTGTCTACGGCAGGGTGAGTACTACGGGTTAGTTCCACTAGATCCTAAATTTAAATAATTTTATATTTCCCTCCATCAGTATGACCAGTACAAGACACCCATGGAGAACATTGGGCTGCAGGATTCGCTGCTGTCGCGTTTCGATCTGCTCTTTGTCATGCTGGACGTGATCGACAGCGATGTGGACCAGATGATATCCGATCATGTGGTGCGAATGCATCGCTATCGCAATCCCAAGGAGGCCGACGGAGAGCCCCTATCCATGGGCAGTTCGTATGCCGATTCGTTGGCTTTTGTTTCCCGAAGTGATGAGGTATGTATTACATATATCTCGGAGGAAAACTTTGATATATATATATCCTTTTCTCGCCTCTACAGAAAAAGGACACCGAGGTTTATGAGAAATACGATGCCTTGCTGCATGGCAAATCCCGGCAGCGTCACGAGAAGATCCTCTCCGTGGAGTTTATGCGCAAGTACATCCACATTGCCAAGTGCATGAAGCCCAAGCTGGGGGAGCAGGCCTGCGAGGCCATAGCCAACGAGTACAGCCGCCTGCGTTCCCAGGAGGCGGTCGAGACGGATGTGGCTCGCACTCAACCGATTACGGCCCGAACCCTGGAGACACTTATTCGTTTGTCCACAGCCCATGCCCGGGCACGCATGTCGAAGACGGTGACCATCGATGATGCCCATGCGGCCATTGAGCTTGTACAGTTTGCCTACTTCAAGAAGGTGCTGGAGAAGGAGCGTGGCAAGCGACGCCGCAACAGTGGCGCCTCTGACGAGGAGGAGGATGATGCTGCTGTCAGTACCCACCGATCACCGTCACGTCGCAGCAAGCGCACTCGCGTTGAAGTGGCTGGCGCGGACAGCGATGAGGAGGATATAGAAACACCACAACCGGATGCCGGTGACTTGACGCGCCGCGAGACTCGTAAATCTCTGCCCGCCCAGAAGGCTGCCGCCGCCTCAGTCACCTCCAGCGAGGAGCAGTCGACATCGTCGACGCCAGCCACCATCAGCGATGCCCGTTTGGGTGGATTCAAGAACAACTTGCAGCGCCTGTTCCGCGAGGCACGCGAGCAGAGCCTCCCACTTGCCAGGATCACCACGGCCATCAACGATGGCAACCCGGAGCCCTTCAGCGGCGGTGAAATTGAGGCTGCCGTTCATCGTATGACCGAGGATAACCAAATTATGGTGGCCGATGACATTGTCTTTCTTATCTAACCCAAGCATTCCACACTTATCACCATCGAGGAGTATCTGTATCTCCACCACCATTTATCTCATCAATTATCCATTGCATCGGCTAAGTTATAAATTTTTGTTCATATTTTTGTAATAAACGTATTGAAAATCTCTTGCTAAATTCTATGACTGAATCTCTTAAGAACATTCTGTTAAATTAATAACACACAATCTATAAGGTATTTTGGGATATTTATAATGTTTTCTTATATTTGAGACAGTCATAGACATACATACATATAAACATTAATTTTATCGATATACAAGGTTTCACAAAAAAATATTTCAAGACAAACGATTTAAAAAGAGGTGAAAAGAACAGAACTGGCTTTTGAATCACATTTTGGTCCAAAAAAACCTTGAAGATATTTTCTGTAGAGCTCGCAAATAGCCTTATTTGCTCTCTAAAAGAGCTTAATAACTTAAAATGAAACAGGAAACCGGAAACGGGAAAATCTGTTACTGACGAGCTCTGATCTTTTCGTACTAACGTTAATTTTGGGAGGTACATTATTCTTTTATAGACTTAATTTTGAAAAATTCGCCTTTTGAAGAGAGTTAAGATAGTTATTTCTTATGTGAGACAGTCAGCAGAGGAGACCTATGAGCATTTTTCTTGGCATTTAAAATGTTTAGAATTTAAGTTGAGAAATTTATAGAATATATGTATATTGCATCGATTATATTTAATACCTCTCTCTGTCGCTTTTGTGACGGTCTTTTTTCTGTTTTCGGAGAGACAAAACTCTCCCAGCTGCTCTTAGCTGCACAAAGAACTTTGTAACGAAACGAGAACATAAACAATTTAAACTAGAAACGGATATAGCGACTAATCTCCGGTTAAAACTTATATACACTGATAAAGAGCACCTTGGCTCAAGGATCGCTAACACACCTACACACTCGCATGCATTCCGCTCAGCCACACACTCATGCATACACACACACACAAAATTTAGCTAGTCAGCCGCTGGCTAGGATCAAAGGTTCACCACATTCTTGAGATCCAACGGTAGCAGTCCCTTCATGCACTCGATCTGGGCCCGTATCTGCTGCTGGTGTCCCGTCGCCTCCACTTGATTGCCCTTCTCCGAGTAGAGATTCAGTTTCTGCTTGAGCTTGAGTATCATATCGATGATCTCCACCTCCTGCTTGTCATGGGCCCAGTGCTCCAGGTTTGCCTCCGAGAGAGCCTGCAGCTGGAGATCCTGTAGCGTTAACTGCAGCTCTCGATGTCGGGCCTCGTACCAGCCTCGAAAGTTGGGAGACCGGAAGAAGCGTCTGTACAGTCCCTTCCAGTCACCCTTTAGGGGCGATGTGAGCTGCGGCCCCGCCGTCTCCAGGGTGGCCAGGAAATCGTCCAGTTTAAAGCTGCTCGCATTCGGCGCCGACTTGAACGGGCTGATGTCCTTCTGCAGAGGCATCAGCGAGGCCATATAGCGCTCCAGCGGTATCATAAAGCTCTGCGTTAGCTCGAGGAGATGCCGGCGTATGAGAGCGGTCTGGACGTGCTCGGGCCGCTTGGTCTTCATGCCCAGTAGCACCTTCTTAATCAGTGCCTTGTCCTTTTTAAGGTACGGCTTGTATTTGCTATGCAGGCCAGCACTGGAGCTCTCCCCTGCCGCCAGGCCGCTACCATTGGCAATGCCATTCAAGGTTGTGGTGCTCTTGAGGGAACTTGCCACCGATGAGCTGGAGAACGAGGTGGCCGAGGTTATGTTGCGGGCGTGCAGGTGCTGTTGCTGCTGCAGCATGTTCTTCTGAAAGAGGACGAAACGAGATATGAAATAGAAATAGAAAGGGATAGAAGAGGTCACCTCTCACCTAATTTTAAGATTACAAGGCTAAGAATCTATAAGGATCTCTTGTCACTCGCTCACCTGGTTATCCACCAGCCGCAGCATATGCGGCCACGCTTTGAGCAGCTTCACAAAGAACGGATTGGTCACGCCAAGTATACAGGAGGGCACCGTCGCCGTTGTCGCCTTGCTTTCCTGCGTAAACTCCCGAAACTCGCTGTCGTGGATGGTGAAGTACGGTCGCGCCTCGGCGCAATACTCCAGCGGTGCTATGAGCGCCACCAGAGTCTGCACCATATGAGTGCAGTCCGCCGGCGAGGTGCCCACCACAACGATGGGTTCGGCGGTGATGACCAGCTCCCACAGCGTATATAGGTGCTCCATGACAAAGTCCAAGGAGCGGAAGAGTTCGATTTCGTTGACAGACACTAGGATCTTGGCCGTTGTCGAAGCAATGGCTCGTGGGGATTCTCCTTCTGATGTTGATGATGATGATGATGTCTCGACTATGGTTGTTTTCCTGCTGGTGGTAGCACGGGGTATACATATCTGATAGCTGCAATCCAGAAGGGGCAACTGCAGCGTCTGGCCGACGCGCAGCGATGGCCACTGGCGGTTAATTTGCTCGCTGGCCAGGCGCAGGATGTCCGAGGTCCCGGTGCCCGAGCCTTCGGAGTCAAAGTAGCGCGGCGCCAGCTGGCCAAGTATGTCGTAGTACAGATTGAAGAACGGCAGCCGGGTGATAATGATGAAGCTCTTCTGGAAGTAACCGCGCGGCAGATTTGCATCGCGCTTCTGCCGGAAATAGACGAAGCCCCAATAATGCGAAGCATCCTGTCGCAGGGCCGGCGGGCACTCCGCGTTGTAGTTCTGCAGCGAGTCCTGCCGCGTGGCCTTGGTGCAGCGGAATCGCATGTGGAACTTGGTGTCGCCCATGCAACCGGAATTGGAGTCCGGGAAGGCCATGTAGCAGATGTTGCTCACCTCCTGGTCGCTGGGCATAAAGACAGGCGGATAGACATGCTCCAGGGCCTGGCCCAGGTTCAGATCGAAGGTGACCACGCAGAAGCAGTGCATCCATTGCGAGAAATTCAACCAATCGTTGGCGCTTGGCTGCGAGTTCGAGTTGGAGGCGTCCGTGTGTCGCTGCGCCTGCTCCTTTGCCTCCTTCTCCTCCTCAGCAAGGGTGGGCACGGAGCTATCCTTGGTTGGCGCCATCTCCTTTATCCTGGCATCAGCGCTCATATTATTTTGTTTTTATTTACAAAAAATCTTTGACTGGCGACATTGACAACTGTCGTGGGGTTATAGGGATGGGCGATAGTTTACAGGCTACTTACAATATATCGGATGCGTCTGTGTCACGATGCATTTTTCACTTATGTCATTTTGTACTTATTTATCTTTAATTTATGTATATATTTAATTTGTTTTCAATAGTTTTTTGACAATAACAAAATGGTATGATTATTTTGGTTAATTCTATTTTATTTCTTTAAATAAATTTGTTATTTGTTTCCATTAAAATATTTTCCATCTCTAATTTTTGTTTTATCATAGAAAAACTTTCACTTTTCTCTGGTTTCTTATTTTGCACTTTCTACGATCGTTGCCAATTTTGTGTAATGTGTAACGGCTTGTAATATTGTGTATATTATATAATTGTTTATATAATTAATACATAAATATAATTAAAATTATTTATCTAATACTTTTAATGGATTTATTTTCTTTAAGTTTAAAACAATCTGCTAGCTTTATATAAATAAATAAATAATATTAATAATAAAAATAACAAATAATAATAATAAATACTTATATGATGTCACCAACTAACTTATAGCTAAATATTTGTCAAAACATAAATACGTGTTTAAAAATATTTTTCAACAGCAATAATAAAACAGTGACTATTGTTTTGCACAAATAAGTATATAATATTAATTAAGTCGTTATATTTGAAATTTGAATTAATATTAAAAGATTTCATCCAAAAATTAACTATTAACTATTAAATAGCTAAATGCTCTGAAAAAAGCTAGTAGCTGTCAAAGCTGTTCCGATAGGAAAATACAAAACTATCAGAACTGTTAGTGATGGGCGATAAGCGCCTTCCCAATTCTTGGTTTATTTTTTAAATTCTTCGTCAAAACAATAACAACACGTCTTGCATATTTATTTTTTTTTTAAATTTAATTAAACAATAAACCTTTATTTACCCGTAACTCCACAAACAATCAAAGTGTTACCGAATTTGCCAAGCGAAAACCAAGAGGCGATAGAACGCAACGAGTTTCCCGCCTAAATGAGCGGCGTCTGAGTTTTTTTTTTTTTGTATAAATACAAAATAATTGCGAAATGCCCATAGCGTCCTTTAAGTGCGTACGCGAAGTGAGCAGCGAGGATGCGGTGAGATTGGACCCTATAGCCATATATAAAATAAGTGTATACATAGATTGAAATCACTTCCAGGTGCATGTGGCGGAGAATCTGCTGAAGGAGAGCGCCGGCAAGAAGTGGCGCACCAAATCGGGCAATGAGAAGTCCGCCTATGTGATTCTGGAGTTCCAGGAACCGCAGCAAATCACGGGTATTGACATTGGCAACGAACATTCGGCCTTCATCGAGGTGCTGGTCAGTCGTACCGGCTGCCAGACGGACGATTTCCGCGAGCTGCTCCTGTCCAGCTCGTTTATGACCCCAATCGAGAGCAAGAACTCGAGTAACCAGAACCGTGTGCGCTGCTTTAGCAGCCAGTCATTGGACCAGACCACCCTGCCCGAGAAGTGGAAGCTGCTGAAGATTGTGTGCACGCAGCCCTTCAATCGGCATGTCCAGTATGGCATATCGTTTGTCAAGGTGCATGTGGTTGCGGCAGCTCCTGCTCCAACTGCAGCTCCTGCCAAGGTCAAGAGTCTGCTGCCCGAAAGGATGATGCAGTTTGGTGCGTTCAAGCTGCGCGAAGAATCTCCGGACTCCGAGAACGACAGCCAACTTAACCGGTTTCAAAGCTGGAAGAAGGAGTCGCACCTTAAACAGTCGCAGCAGCCGCCGGCAGCTACTACCACAGCGGCGGCCATTAGGGATGCTGGTAACACGGCCCTGAAAAGACTCAGCATCGGCAAGGTCTCCGCCAGCTTGCCCAAACCCTCACCTAACCATTCGCCCGTTCCAACTTCAGCTGGTGATGCCAGTGACGTCAAGCCTTTGGATCGGAATAGGGCTTCATTGCTGTTTGGCGAGGACGACGATGACGAGGATGCTGCTCAGGGGATGCCGATGAGCAAAATGCCAAAAAGCGGCGACTGAGCAAGCATCTGGAAGCAGACAAGGATCGCAGGCGACTGGAGCAGGAGCAGCTGCAAAAGGAGAAGGAGCGCAAAAAGGACAAGTCCAAATCCAGACATTCCCTGGACAAATCTATCTCAAAGGAAAACAAATCCTCAGGCAAGGAGGAGAAGTCAGCCAGAAAGGAGTTAGAGAAAGAGAAGGAGAAGGAGAAGACAGAGAGATCCTCATCTAAGGAGAGCAAGCCAGCATCTAAAACAGAGGATAAGCATGAAAGCAGATCCAAGCACAGAGAGGCATCCAAGTCGAGGGACAATTCTCGACCATCAACCCAAAAGCGTCTCTCCTCTTCGCCTTCGAACACGCCTGCCAAAAAACCTCGGATCAGGGATCAGGATTCGGAACCCATTATCCAATATCGTCCTTTCAATCAGCTGCTTAACGGCGTGGTTCTGGTCATCAGCGGCATACAGGTAAGCAAGACTACGGATGTAGCCATATATCTTAATGTTAAGAAAAAAAAATATCGCATTTTATGTTAAAATATTGTTATTTTCAAACAAAAAAAGAAAATAACTTAGGAAAGTTTATTTACCTTTAAAGTTGGCAATTGTATTATAGACTATGATCGGAAATCTATCATAAAAGCATTCTTTTTATCATTATATTTATATGCCAATTTTTATGAAAAATCAAAGTTTAAAAAACGCATAACTAAGCTAAAAATCCATTTATTTTAATTCAGAAAGTTGTCCCATGTTAGTTTTTAATAGCTTAATAAATCTGCATACTTAGTAAAAGATTAAAGTAAATTAAAATTTTTATCAATTTTTCATGTTTCAATTATGAAAATTTAACCCGATATAAAATTGTGCAAATTTTTAAAAATTTTAATTCTTGACAGACATAGCTAGATCGACTCGGCTGTTCATCCTGATCAAGAATATATATGCTTTATAGGGTCGGAAATGACTCCTTCACTTCGTTTTAAGCTTCTGACTGAAGTGAAAATACCATTCTTGAGTTGATATTTATCATTAATTTTATATGACAATTTTGGGACAAAACGAAAGTTTAAAAAACGCATAACTAAGCTAAAAATCCATTTATTTTAATTCGGAAAGTTGTCCCATGTTAGTTTTTAATAGCTTAATAAATCTGCATACTAAGTAAAAGATTAAAGTAAATTAAAATTTTTATCAATTTTTCATGTTTCAATTATCAAAATTTAACCCGATATAAAATTGTGAAAATTTTAAAAAATTTAAATTCTTGTCAGACATAGCTAGATCGACTCGGCTGTTCATCCTGATCAAGAATATATATGCTTTATAGGGTCGGAAATGACTCCTTCACTTCGTTTTAAGCTTCCGACTAAAATTAAAATACCCTGCAAGGGTATAACAATTTCCGATATATGATATTTAATGTATTTGCCTGTTTAATAGATCAAAAATTTTATTTATCCCACATATACATGGTTTATGGATCTCCATGCCAAATTATTAATTAAGTAATTATTTTAAAATATATTTCCCTACAGAACCCCGATCGTGCCGATTTACGCTCAAAGGCCACCGCTTTGGGTGCCAAATACAAAGCAGACTGGGAACCAGGATGCACTCATCTGATGTAAGTTTACATAATAATGCATATAAATATACATATATCTAAATAAATATGAAATCTTTTCAGCTGTGCCTTTAAGAATACTCCCAAATACAATCAGGTGAAGGGCAAGGGCAAGATTGTGACCCGTAGCTGGATCGAGAAATGCTACAATCTTCGAAAGTATCTTCCCTGGCGTCGCTACGCCCTGGACACCAACGATCTGGGCCAGCCTGAAAGTGACGAGGAGCTGTGTGATGAGGCCAGAAAGCCCAGTTCACGACGAGAGTCCAACGAGGAGGATGATGAGACCATCAAGGTGACAAATACCTATGATGCAGATCCCAAGGATAAGAAGAAGGTGGTGCAGCATCAAGAGGAGGCTTCCTCTGGCATCGATACGGAAGATGAACTGCAACGTGTGGCTGATGGTAAGTTTCAATTCATTACTTTGTAACTCTAGTTAAACTATAAATATTTAATTTAGAGAACCGTAAGAAAAAGACAAAGCATAGGACTCCCGTTAAAGCGAAATCCAATGATGATATATACGATGTAAGCACCGAGGAAGAGGATTTTCTGATTGAAAAAAAAAAGCAGACAATCGTTATCGATTGAGTGTCATATTATTTGAGGTATTTCCTTGGATTTCAAAAGGCTTAAGTTAATCCTCCTTTAAATATTCCACTTATTTGATAATTATTTGTTTTTGTTTTAAAGTCTTTTTGAGTGCTGGCTGTTCCGTAATGACAATGTTTAATAATAAAATAAGAAGATAAATGCGAAACAGGTTTTTATAAATTGTATTTTTTACAGAACTATGCAAAGTTAACCGCGAAGCCCTTTTAAAAAGTGTCATCTTTAGGATATTACCTTGGCCCATCGCTATCAAGGATTACAAGGAATTGCCTAACGCTTAGTCTGCCATTTTCGGAGTGCCTTCCTTAGGCCAAATGTAGGCTATACAAAATAGTGAAAATAAGCCAATATTCTAATATTCTATTTAAGCCACCAAAAATTAAGCTTTTCATTGAAAATTCATTAAAACTTTGGCCAACTCCGACAGTTTGCAACCCCAAAAACAGGTGGCAAGCAACAGCTGGCTGCCTTTGACAGCTGCGCTCTCCCTCTCTCTGTAAAAAGCGAAGCTTCCTGGCAGGTTGACACTTGCGCTTTTACCTCTTTGGAACTGGATAAGGTGGTCGCCACAGCTCTCTCTCTCTCTCTCTCTCTCTTCTCACCTCTTCCTTATCCACAACATCAAAAGAGAGTCACTCCCCCATTGAGACCACCTTATGTGCTTTCACCATGCGCTGTCATTTCCTTTGGGATAAACTCTCTCCCCCACACACATGTGAGAGAACCAGTAAGCTTACGGTGAAAAGCGCTGCGCTCTCCCATTCACAGTCGTGTGTTTGCTGGCGAGCGAAGAGTAGAGAGCGTCTTTTGGAAGTTAACAAAATCAACGGGATTGTTTATTTATGGTAAATATAAAATAACTTTTAATGGGAACTGCTTCTCGTTCCCTCGGTGAAGTCAAAGATAAATCCTAGAACACAACCGCAATATCCTGGAACTTGGATCACACAAAATTCCTGCGGAACGGTAAAGTGATGGAAAAGTGGTTCGCCTGGGAAATTGGAAAATCGATACGATTGAGCCGTAATTAAAAATATGCTGATAACTTGCCATTTCCATTTTTCTTGATTTGTTTTTTGTTCCTTTTTTATCTACAGAATACGCTAATAATTGCGAAATCAAGCCTTTGAACGCCGCAGGATCCGCAGGACGAAGAGCAGTAGAGCAGAGGAGGAGAGCAGCAGAACCAGAGGTGAGAGGCGGGGTCACATTCTGCACGCACACAGTGAGAAAATCCTAACAAAATCGCTGGGGATATACAATTCCCCCCCCCCCCCCACCCATCAGATTTTCAATGTATCTGGTTTCCGTTTTCTTCTATATATATTTTTTTCAAGAAAAGGTTAGTGATTACCTATTGAATTTGTCCATTTTTGCTAGAAAAGCTGAAAGGTTTTTAAATCAGAATTTGCTAAAAGCAGAATTTGATTAAATCTCACATATTTCAATTAAAATTATAAAGTACAAACAGTATTTTTACAAAATGTGTCTTTATATTCTTAAGACTTTATTTCTTTGATAGGTATAGGTTTATTGTACATTAAGCGTAACATGACAGTAACGGATATGCTTCTATATAACATTTAAACTATAATAAAACATATAACAACATCAAATATATATATGTATTTTTGCCCAAACTTAACTTCCATTTCAATTCCCAGCGATTTCGATGGTATTTATAAAATATATATTTTCATGATCCCTTAATAATCTATAACTTCTTTCACAGATCACCCATTTTGTCATCTAGTTAGGAAGCGAGCGCTAAACTTCGATCAAGAATAATGGGTAACGAGACCTCCCTACCCATGGACATGTGCTCCAATTTCGATGCAGATGAGATCCGACGATTGGGCAAGCGTTTCCGCAAACTGGATCTGGACAATTCCGGGGCACTGAGCATAGATGAGTTCATGTCGCTGCCGGAACTGCAGCAGAATCCGTTGGTGCAGCGCGTTATCGACATCTTCGATGCCGATGGCAATGGCGAGGTGGACTTCAAGGAGTTCATCCAGGGCGTCTCGCAGTTCAGTGTGCGCGGCGATAAGCTGTCGAAGCTGCGATTCGCATTCCGCATCTATGACATGGACAACGATGGCTACATCTCCAACGGGGAGCTCTTCCAGGTGCTCAAGATGATGGTGGGCAACAATCTGAAGGATACACAGTTGCAGCAGATCGTGGACAAGACCATTTGCTTTGCGGACAAGGACGAGGATGGAAAGATATCATTCGATGAGTTCTGTTCGGTGGTGGGCAATACCGACATACACAAGAAAATGGTCGTCGATGTCTAGGGGATATGCGTATATAAGTACATATAATAGACATACTATGTAGAGCATATAGGATCCGGATCCCCCCAAGTGTGTGTGTGTGTGTACCTTCCGCTCAACCCGTTAAGCTTTATATATATATATATTAATATATATAATAATTGGATCCTGTGTATGTCTGTCTGTCGTCGGTCTGCGTGCCAAAAGAAAGCAGTTCGTTCACTCGATTCTTACTCGATACCTATCTAGATATAAATATATATAACCTATATGCACATACCTGACCGATCTCTCATCCTCAGAATGCTATGAATTGTGTCTTATACTCATACGAAACCACCGGCAACGGACCACTACCAAAAAAATGCATCCCTCTAAGCCTGGAAAACCCTTTCCTTCCCCTAAAACCTTTTCCCAACCTTTAAGAAAGCTCTACATTCCCCCATTCGATAAGTATTTGCTATATATAGGTGACTTAAGATTGACGACGACATCCGATATCGCGCTCGCATCATCTCAAGCTAGTTTGTACTGTATCCTAACTCTACGTTCAATTCAAAGTCTTAACTGTTAAGTTCATCTCTCGACTAAATGTTGTGTATAAGATATGTAAAAACTACAACTACAATTAAAGAAGGTTTATCGAAAAACAAACACAACAAAATGCAAAGAGAGAAAGTAATGGGGAAAATGGGGAAAAGCTGGCATTTCGTCGTCCTCGAACGCACTAGCAAGTCCTTGGACAAGGAACACGTGCGTGTCTCCTTAGCTTGCAGAGCTACAAAATCCAGGTAAAACATACAGAATACAGGGAAACCCAAAGAAAAGCCCTCGGTAACAAACAAAAAAGAAAACCCCCCGAACTGAACTTTTGGCTTTATAGGTCACCGATTTTCCGCCCATGTGTGTGGAGGTGTAAATACATGAAAAGAAAATACAACAGGTATTCTTAGTTACTTCAAGCTTACCAAACCTGATAGTAACTTTCTATTGCCTTAATTAATGTGATTTATATAATGATTGTTTAACTATTATCTATGATTTAATGTGAGTTTTATGGTAGTTGTGAAATGTTTTAATTATATTACTTCATTTCAAGACCATTTCAATTATAACTAAAATAATAGAGAAATATTCAGAAGCTTAAAAAAAAGAAGACTTGAAGAGTTAGTTAATATTTAATTTAATTATTTGATAGGAGATTTATGGGGTCCTTCAGTACCCAGTATACAAAATAATATATTATTATTATGACAGTTATTTAAATATATTTTTATTAACTTATTTCTTATTTAATTTATCCCTCTTTTTAAGGACATTTTCTTGTACTGTTTAATATAGAAATATTCAAAAACTTGTTAAGAGTTAGTTGATTTTTAATTTCATTATTTGATAGGAGATTTTTGTGTTCCTCCAATACCGAGTATACAAAATAATTTAGTATTATTATGAAGTTATTTAAATTAATTTTATTCATTTATTTTTATTTAATTTATCCCTATTTTGAAGGACATTTTCTCTTACTGTTTTGCAGGAAGCCAGTCAAACTAGCTGCCGGGTCCGCGGAGAACTTGTACGGCAACGGAGCCCTTGACCACGGCAGTCACCTGGCGAGGTGAGCAGCGAGGTCTCAAAGGTCCTGCGAGAGTCCTTCGCCGGCACGTGTGTTCGTGTAAGTGTGTGTGTGTTTGTGCGTGTGGGTGAGTGAATGCGTGAGTGTGTGTGCTTGGTATCAATAAATTATTATATGCTGTCTGTCGCAAGCTTCGTTCGTTAATCATTTTTCGCCACCACCCACGCCACCCCCTCGGGCCGTGGTCTGTCAACCTCCTGTAAAGGCATTTCCATTTTGAAAATTAGTAGGGTTAATGCCGGTGCTGGCACCTTCAAACTTTCACTCTTTACCCCTGTGATTCCCCCAATGGGCCTCCTTCTGGTTGACCTTTTTCCGTTGTTCGCTTGCTATATTAATTGGTTTGATTAATGTGCTCCAATTTTCGGATGGTACGTAACTGTGCCGGGCCCCAATAATCGGGGCCTTTCCTTTACCATTCACCTATATCATTTTCTTACCTGTTTTCCCCAAAGGGTGGGTGGGGGAAGGGGTACGTTGAAGCTAATGATGGGACAGATACAATTTGTAGCCTGTCGGGGTTTTTAGGTTTATAAATATCTATATGTCAGGGCAAGAGACATTTCTGAATGTAAAGAAAATTAATTTTTAGAGTAAGATTTAATGAATATTAAAATATTCTTTTCAGATCTTCCAGCTTAATACTTCTTGTTAATTGTTCTTAACCCCTTTTGGTAAATTAGTTATTGAATAGTAAGGGAACAAGTGTATGTATATATATGTATATATGTTATCATGAGCCTTATTGATTTGGTATATTTTTGGAAATAAGGCAAAAGGGGTCCCTTAACTTATTTCGCTTGAATAACTTTGGTTTTCGGAGGCCCAAAACTACTACCACAGAGGGTAGGCGGGTCTTTTTATAAATTATGTATGTATGTACAACGATTTCTACCAATTTTAATGGTTGAGAGGAGCAGAGGGCTGGGCAACAAATCAATATATTATATACATATATTAGTAAGGTAAGTATTGGGCAGGTAAGCCAGGTAAAGTCAGGGATATCATACATAAAACCCCAAAACGAAATTGTCAGCTTTCATTCCTTATTCCGGAATTTCTCTTTCTCTAGTGGCTTTGTTTTCCGCATTTCCCCGGTGGAAAAAATAAAAGCTTTTTTAGTTTTATGTTGCTTGTTTTTTTGCCATTTTAGTTAGCCTGTTTTTGCAATAATAATCGCGGCATTAGGTCGAAAGGGAGGCCCTGCAAAAACAAATACCAAATCAATGTCCATGTGTGTGTCTCTATCTATCTCTCTCCCTCTCTGTATATATACAGCTGCGTCCAAGCTAATAAGGTTATTAGAACTTTCTCCAAAATAATTGTGCTGATAAGTTCATCATTATGGTCGGGGTATAACTTTCGCGCTTAAAAAGTTTTGCACACATCGACGAGTGTATGGACAACTTTTCCAATCAAGCGATTGTAATTAATTACCGGAGAGCTAGTGGCGAACTTAATTAGGAAAACTTTATTAACTGCCAGGAAACTGACAATTTTGGGTTGAGGGAAATAGACAGGAATTTAGAGCACCTGTACCAGTATACTATATCTTTATACCCTTCCAGGGTAGCTTCAGACTAAAGCTTTTTATCACGTGAAGAAGTAATTTCCGACTCTATAAATCATATATATTCTTGATCAGCATCAACAGCAGAGTCGATCTAGCCATCTCCGGCAGGAAAGAAAATTTTTCAAAATTTTAAAAGGGGGGTTCGTTAAAATTAATTTAAATTGAGTATCCATGTTTATTAAGTAAATAAAAACTAAGATGGCAAAGCTTTCCGAATTAAAATTAATGCTCTTTTGACTGAGTTATGAGATTTTTAAGCTTAATACTCCAGAAGTTTCTAGCGACATTTGCCAGCAACATTTATCCCGCAGCATCTTCCTAGCTACATTATGCCTTTCAATATTTATCCCGCAACATGTGCATAGTTACTTTTGCAATATTTATCCTGCAACATGTTCCTAGCTACCTCGCATTATTTATCCCCACAACATGTTTCTGTCTACCTGATTCCCTGCTATATATTTGTTAGATCTTTTTTTACGAAATTTATAAAACAATAACCTGAACACCAAAGGCCAAACCAAAGGACTTTTGTCAGAGATTTCATATACTATATGTACATATATATTTTTTTGTAAGCTCTTTTCATAATATTTTGTTGACCGCATCTGTGTGTGTGTGTGCGGGTGTGCGGTTGAGTGGCATGTGTGTGTGTATAGTGTTTTCTTTTTTGTTTTTTGGTGCGATAAAAGTTGACTCGTGCCAGTTTCGAGCTGTAACCGAAAACGCATACAAAACAAAGCAGCGAAAAAAAAGCGGAAGAAGGGGAAATGGTGAAATGTGAGGAATGGGAATGGGGGAATACAATGTGAATGGGAATTACAAAAACAAGCATCAACAACCACCGTTAGCCTCAAGCGCCAGGAGCGTTCTTCTCTCCCACTCTCCATCGCTCTCTCACCCCATCCATCTGTTCCCGCCCACAGAACCATAAATTCACCATTACCACGCAGCTACCTCAACACTGCACCTCCGCTCTCTCGCTCCCCCTCCCACCCAAACCCCCATTAAGAGGTGGCAACTAACAAACGCCGGTGACGCAACGGAACTCGGGGAGCGACAACAACCCGATTCCGAACCCGAATCCCAAAAAAAAAACCCGACACGAACCCGAAGGCCAGGGACGGAGTTGACCCACTAACCCCAATGGTAAAAAATGGGCCAGACTTTCCAGGTGTCAAAAAGCCCCAAAAACGAAGCCATTAATTATCTTGAAGATCTCCATCAAGAACATCATACTATATATTAATCTATCAATATTTTGGTATTATATTGATTTCACTTAATTACCCTCAGTCCTAATTATTAGTAATATTGATAACGCTAACGCAAAATATAGTCCTTGAACTCGATGAACTCCGCTCCTGTTGTTCTCAAGGCTTCAACTTCGTCTGCCGACTCCGATTCCGATTCCGATCCAACTCCGATTCTTTTTTGTAACTCCGATTCCGATTCCGAGTCGCGACTCCCGATTCCCGGCGCTGCATGCATCCAACGAAGTGCCGTTATATGCCGTTTTTTTATTTCGGGGCAAGCACAAGTGGCAAGTGCCGCAGGGCAGTGGCGTCGCAGGGGGTTGTGTGAAATATTTTTTTTTTTTTTTTCTTTATTATTTATTTACAATCTGTCTAATTAACAATAGGTAAATTTTATGAGGAGTGTTAAGCTAACAGAAATAGCAGTTCTCCAGTGAGCTCTGCTATTATATATTTTACATATTTACAGTAGTTTAATTTATCTGTCGGGGAGATCGAGAATGTGGTATCTTTTCAGTCTTCTTACTGTTAAACTATTGTCCACTAGATTTAAGGCTAAATTGTTTTCATGGTTATGGAGTCTGTCGATGTATTTTTTACTGATTTTATTTATTTCTTCTTTTATGGTTGGGATGTTGAGGTCTTTGTGGATGTTTGCATTAGTTACGTAGAAGGGAGCATTGACAATTTGTCTCAAAGTTTTGGATTGGTAACGCTGAAGAATTTCAATATTTGATTTGCTAGCAGTTCCCCAGAGCTGTAAAGCGTAGGTCCAAATATGAAATATGTTCATGTATTAAATTAAAAATTAATACAAAATCTAAAAATATTACTCATACGCCATGTGAGTCCTTTTAAATTTATTTTAAGTAAATCATTTAAATATGAGAAGATGTAAAGACAATTTTATTGCTGGAAAATATTAAAGAAAATGAGTTGATTTTTAATGAAAATATATTCAAAATTATAATTATAATTATTCAATTAAAAACTACGACTTGGGGTTAAAAGCGGAAATTAACCCTCGTTTTTTATAAAAAGGTAGCATACCTTTATGGGTTCAGATTATATTGCTAACGGAATTTGGTACTTAACCCAACCCCCGCCCCCTCTTTATTTTTTTTTGAAGACAAAGTTAAGTGTCGCCGCCGCTGGGTGGACTAAACGACTTCCCGCCCACAAGAGAGGCAGAGAGGCAGAAAGGCAATGGCAGCAGCAGCAACAGCAACGAAGGGAACAGTGGGCGAGGGGCGAGGGGGAGAGAGAGCCACCGACACCGACCGTTAGACGAGGCGACCCGTCGACCAAACGACCGACAGCCGAGTCAGTGCGAAGCAGGAGAAGCAGCACAGCAGCAGCAAGGGAATGCGTGTGCCGACGACGACGACGCTATATACACGGTGCCGAGCAACAAATTGAGTCAGTATCGCACAAATAACGGAAACATCAACGTGAAACATCAGCGAGACGGACGCCTCCGTCCCGTTAAATGCTGTGTCTGTCTGTCTGTCTGTGTGTTGAGAGCTTCTAAGTCTACGTTGTCGCCGCGCACTCAAAAACAAACAAAATAAATCAAACAAAGCATCAAAACTAATTCAAATTAAAACAAACAACTAAATACGGCAAAAACATTGCAGAAACTTTAACAGGAGACACACACACTCACACTCACCTCGCAAAGAGGCGCATACAGAAACGTATGACAAAACAAATTAAAAGAAGAGAACAGTAACTGCCAGCATCTGAGCAACGAGAGAAAGAGCAGCTTAGATCGTGAGAGAGCGCCACAGCGCCAATCTACCACAGGGAGTCAGAGAGAGGGAGAGAGAGGGAGAGATCGCCGCTAGTCAGAGCGGCGTAGTTCAGTTACTTTTGAACCAGCGAGCGAGCAACAGCCCGAGGGCAGTAAGCTAAAGTTTTTAACAACGTCAAACTGCAAAACGGCACTTTGGCACTTGGCTCTTGGAAAGTTTGCAACTCCCCCTCGGGCCAGCAAGATAGAGCTGTAAAAATAGACACATGCAGAAATGCATAAAAAGAAAACGGCCAAATTAATAGAGTCAAAAGAAAAACCGAAAAACCGAAAAAAAAAATCTGCAGTAGCGGCAGAAGCAACGGTAGCTGAGTTGAGTTGAATGCTCTTTTCGTGGTGAATCGTCGTGGGTGTCGCGTCCTCACACACACACACACACAGACATGCAAACACACATATGCACAGACATATCTATAGATGCATATAAATAAACACATCAAAAATTAATTTTTTTTCTTGTTATTCTATAGTTAATATATAAAAGTTACCAAAAAAAAAAAGAAAAAAGAAAATACAAAGAAAAGCAAGTGCAGGCAAGGGCGCCCGAGTGCGGCCAATGGAAATGCCAAACAAAATGCAGAAGCAACAAATTCAACGGCAACAAAAACAACAACAGCAACAGCAGCAGGAGCAACTGCACTTTCCAAATACATAAGTCCACCGAATACCGATACCGTTTTGTGGTCCGTCTTTGTCGCGCGCGTTCACACACATACACACACACATACATCTACACATGCAAGTGCATAAATGGCAATATGGACGAGCAGAAGCAGCGGCAGCAACAGCAGCAACAACAACAACAACAGCAGCAGCAGCCTGGTCTACCAGCACAGTGACACGCGCGTGCCAAACATTGCCGATTTTATCATCAGAGGCGAACGCCACCAGCAGCAGCAGCAGCAGCAGCAGCAACGACAACAACTCCAGTGGGACCAGCTATTAACTGAAGGAGTCGCAACAATAATAACAATACCAACAACAACAACAACAACAATAAGAACAACGAACATTGCTGAAAGGCGTCGCCAAATATCAAAGTGAGTACAGCCACTGCTACATACTACTACTATTTCTACTACTATTGCAACTACACTACTAACCCCTACTACCACTTCAGAGCACATATCAACAAAGCGCAATAAGATAGCGACACGCACACACACCCAACTAACCACACACTGCACAGCACACACACCGTCCTCTGCACACCCCCCCTACCGCCAAAAACAAATCCCGCATACCAACACGAAGCTATTATAACTGTAACCAAAGTGCAAGCGTAGAGGAGTGAAAGGAGGCAGGCAAAAAAGGAGCAGAGAGCGGGGAGAAACAGAGAGAGAGAGAGAGTGCAGAACAAAGGAGCCAAGGAGCCAAGGAGGAGAGGGAGAGAAAGCAGCGTGAATGCTAAATGAGTTATGTGTGCGCATTCCTCAATTTACAGCTGCAGTTGGCACACACACACACACACACACACAACCACTCGTAGACAGAGAAAAGCCCGGCTAAAACCCAGATCAAGTGGCTCAAACAGAATTAATTAAAGACTTAACACATATACTCGTACAATAAGAAGAGTCACTCGGCGAGGAAGCGTGCAAAGCCAAGTTGTACAGCGGGAAATTCCATTTACAGTAGTTTTCCTGCCAGTTTTGCAGGAAGGAAAAAAAAAAAATTAAAAGAAACAAGTTAAGGAGCCAGATGAAGTGGCTTAAGAACTCGTTTATCAATGTAGCTATACTAGATGGTTACTTTAATTATAAAAGCGTTTTAAAGTAAAATTTAAGTTAAAAAAGTAATCTTATAGAATGCTTTAGGTATATATGTATATATCCTGGTTAATAGCTCCTTAGCCTTACCCCTAATTAATGGAATGTCCGGATGGAATGGCTTCAAGTGCGAAATACTTGACATTTTGGCTCTGTGCAGTTATGCAGATTAGGGCCCAAGCTGGGCCCGGCAACCATAAGCCACAGGACCGCAACCCGAACCAGAGCCAGAATCAGAGCCAGAATCAGGACCAGAAGTTGAATTAGAACAAGAGCAAGAGCAAGTTCCTTAGGGGTAAGGGGCAGTAACAGGAGCACTTTCAAGTGCTCTGCAATCAAAGACGGGGCCCAAAGTGAAGGTCCTTCCATGTCGATGACACGTTCGCTATGTATGTGTGCAGTCAGGACATGCGGTCGGTCATGCAAATGCATAAGGATTGGGGTCCTTGAAAGCGAAATATGAAAGATTTAAGCTCAGCTCCAAACAATGACTGATAGCAGTCGCCAGCCCTTTTCCTGCTCCCCTTTTTTGACGCACATGGAAAATTCATGAAGAGCCCAAATTGAGTTTGCGGTCGAAACCCCGAAAAACATAACTAAAAATAAATTATTGAGCATGCTCTGTGTGTGTGTGTGTGTGTGTGTGTGTATGCGCAACTTTAAGACCATTTGGGGGTTTGAACTTTAAAAACGAAAACTTTATGCCGGTATGACCTTTTCCAAAACGAATTTGTGTGTTTGTGTGTTGGTTTGTGGAAAAAGGACCCGGAATAGGACAATTACTAGGAAGTGGGTCAGTAATAGGGCTCGTATATCTCAAATAGTTTTTAAAGTAGGCTAATTGGAAAATAACTTACCCTATTAGTAAGTAAGTGTGAAAATATATTATGTTGAATGGAATTTTCCCCAAAATACAAAACACTTTTCATAGAATTTTAGTGTCTTTAAGCCAATTTGATCTTATTTCCCAGTTGTTAAAAGCTCTTTTCATGTTTCGAAAGGCACTAAAACGAAATAATAGTTGTTAATTACTCTCCGGCCAACAAGAACCATTTACCTAAAGCCCAAAATAGACATTTCTCATGTTTATTGTAAATAGCAAAGATCATAAACTCGATATGTATATAGATATATAGTGCAATAAACCCCCACAACTATTGTAAATAGAATGTCAATTGTGTTTATTTTCAAACCTATTCAACAAAAATACATCAAATAAACTTTTTATGAAAAAAACACACTTTGAAACATTCTCCAATTTCCTGCTAAATTTTTCTTTCGTTTTGCATTTTTTTAAACTATATATATATATATATATACATATATATATTTTTTTTTTGCAAATCATTCGTTGCTTTCGCTTTCTACACATTGCTCCCGTTTCATTCCGTACGTCCCTCTGTGCGACACGTCCCGTTACGTCCCAGTACCAGCCATTCCGTCCGTTTCGTTTCGAATGCACTTGTATAGGAGGTGGAAAGTGATCGTGTTGAATGTGAAATACGTCTGCGATGTAGGAATTTGCCATAAATAGAACCTGATTCCCGAACTTAGTTCCCAGTCCCAGTCCCGTTCCCAATTCCCATTCCCATTCCCATTTCTCATGCCCAGAAATATCTTTATACATCAGAAACTCCCAAATATCTGTCCCCTGGGAATCTTAAGTAGCTCTTCTTGTTTGGCTAATGGAAAATTGCATTTATTTCCGGATCGAATCTTAATTTATTTCGTTAATCGTTTGAATTTTAAATGTCGATGTCGTTTTCGTTTCGATCCCTTCACATTTCTGGGGCTCCCAGAGTCCTCCGCTGAATGGTTAATGACCAGAAAAAGCGAGCAAAGTGAGCGTAATTAATGGAAACTGTAATCAATCATGCGCTCCAATTAACCGACCCATCCCGGTCCCAATATTCTTGTCGGGACCATGGAGGAGGTAGTACATATCCCCAGACTTTGAATGCTAATGGCAGTGATGAGGTCGGGTCCGTAATGACACCGAACGGTCCTGGTGTACATTTCAAAACTCATTACGATTCACTCACTTGTGTCCAAGAGGAGTCAAGGAGGAGACGAGTGTCTGCGTCATATACGTTGGATGTATGTATGGATGTATATGCTTTGTGGTCATAGCTGACGAGTCATCATCTCTGATTTCTTAATTTTTCACCATTCACTGGAGCTCCATATTGCCATAATTTCTTTATATTATTTTGCCTTTGTTCCCCATGTTCTTTTTTACTTGCCATATTTTTTCTTGGAAATTGGGAACGGAAAGTCAATTATTGGCGAGGCACGCCTGGAAAATTTTATGAATTTGGGGGTTGTCTTTGATTTTAGTTAATTATATTTCATAGGGTCTTATCATTTTAGTCAGAAGTAATTTTTAACCATATATTGTATATAAATTATTGATCAGCATCATTAGTTTAACTATGGGAAACTTTTTAGATAACAAATTATAACTTATTTATTATTATTATAATTTCTGTATTCATAATTTCTGTATAAATTTTATTAAGATCGGACGACTATATCATAAAGCTTTCATACAAGCGATCGTTTAATGCAGAGAAAATGCATAATCTGTGAGTGTAAAAGTGTAAATCTTTCGCTCCCTCTCGCTCTCTCTCTATCTCTCTCTGTCCATCTCTGCTAATAACTCTCTCTCGCTCTCACTTTCTCTGTTCTCTTTGTTCGGTGACTATAAATACAGGTACAGTCATCGCACTGGCCTCATTCTGTTCGCGGCCTCCCCGCTGTTAACATCTAAAGAGTATTAGTGATATTGACAATGATTGCCCTTCGACCCCAAAAATATTTATTTGGCTTACTTATGATGGCTTTCATATTCGAATCAATGATCCTGCAAGGGTATACAAACATCGACATTTCGATGATATCTTGATTTCTTTTTTATTTGAATTCTAAAATATTCCATTGCCTATTTTTAAGAGCGTTTTCAATTAATTTATTTATTCATGGGCATTTAGTTTATTTAATATGCTATCCTTTATACGTCAATTATATTTTTAAGCTGTTTTAAAAATGATTTAACCATTTATTGTCAATTATATTAATTTTATAAGGTATCGATTATCGAAATTATCTTTTGCTTTGCTAAATTCCCTGCAGAATTCAGGAAAAAAAGGCCAAAGCAATTGCTAATTTGGCATTAGAACCTGTTCAATACACACAATCTGCCAAGCCAATAATAGCTTATTGTAATAATTTCGCAGGGGCTTCTCCTATCTACAAAAACATCCATAAATTTGGGCAATTATTAATATTTTTTTCGTGTTGTATATTGATAAAAAAAAGGCCCATCGTTATCTCGTTTATCGATAATTAATTCAGCAAAACCACTTGACTCAACTTCAGTTTGCCGAGCAGCCTCTTTCAGGCTCTGTGTGCCCACCGTCTCCACCTCCTTGAATTTATGAATAACCGAGACTTTAGTTTCATTTCTATATGGAGGAGGCCTGACAAGATTGCTATTCATAAAAATCCAGAGCCAGAGCCAGAAGGAGAGAGAGAGGGAGGGGGTACTCTTGGACGTCTTTTATTCATACCGATAATTGTTTGAACAATTTCGGTGAATACCAAAAATGAATTCATCGATTGCCTGCGGGCCATGGGCCTTTTCCTTTACCATTTTCTTCTCGCTTCTTGCTTCTCTTGCCTCTGCCTTTATTTCGTTTTTCGTGTTTTCGCTTTTCGTTATTCGCTTCATTTGCTTTTTGGGGTCCTGTGGGAGGACCCGCATAACCTTTGCCCCCACTCCCCCTGAGGGGCCACGCTGGGTGTGATGGTGAGTATTTCACATTTGCTGATTTTTGACGCGTCCATTTACTCTTGATTGATTTTGTTTGTATGTATATATAAGGTGGAATATATATACACATATAATACTATATGTATATGAATATGTGTATGCATGTGTGAGCGGCGGTTGCATCTACTTAAAAATACATTTATTTCTGCGGCCAACGGTGCGCGAGGTGGAATGAAAACTTATCAAATATTTATACAGTTTGCATAGTCAATTTACATAAGTCCATCAACAGTCCCTGTCCGTCAGTGTCCGTCTGTCCGTGTGTCCATCTGTCCATCTGTCCGCCCGTGTGTCCGTCCGTGAATGTGTGTGCCTTTTTTGTGAGAGCTTGTCCACAGAGAAAATAAATTGTATTTCCATAAATTAATTGGTTTGGTGATTAGATTTTAAGCTTAATACTTAATACTTAAATTGAATACTTTTTGATTTTTTAAAATAT